TGGCCCCGACGAAAACCTGACTGGAAAGGGTCCAGGCCAGCTGTGTCATCCAGGAATTGTTGCAATTGTCCCAGTACAGCCCGCTCTATCACCTTACCTAAGAATGGCAGATTAGAAACAGGACGGTAATTGGCAAGAGTCATAGGATCCAAGCTAGGTTTCTTTAACAAGAGACGAACCCTTGCCTCTTTTAGGTTGTCCGGAAAAAACCCCTGTTCAAGAGAGCCATTGATTATACTGCACAACGGATTGAGTAGACCTTCCAAGCAGCTCTTGATCAGCCAAGAGGGGCACGGATCAAGAGAACAGGTGGTTGGTTTTGCAGTAACCAGAATTCTGGCGACATCTTCCGTGTCAAGTGGTGTAAATTGATAGAAGATAGGCCCGCTAAGCAGCCACAAGGTCTCCACGTCACTCAAAGTGTCGACTGTGGGGGGGAGTTCCTGCCGAAGCACGGTAAATTTTGTTAGTGAAAAGTTTCTGGAATGCCAAAGCTGTAATAGGCATAGTTGTTGGGTTCTGGACTAAAGGAGCCGGACTAGTTAAGGCACGAACGATTTTGAATAACTGTGCTGGGCGTGATCTAGCAGAGGCTATTAAGGAAGAATTATATGATTTTTTAGCATCCTTGATGGCTGACTCATAGGACTTGCGAAAAGCCTTAAAAGTAGACATTGACACTTCGTCAGGTTTCCGTCGCCACCGATGTTCCAGTCGCTTTCGTGCTTGCTTCATCATCTGTAGCTCGTTAGTGTACCAAGGGGAGCGATTCCGACGAGGGCGGAAGTGGCGTCTGGAGCAATCTCATCCAAGGCAGCCAACAGATTGGTGTTCCAGTTGTTGACTTGCTCATTGAGAGTGACGCTCACTGTTCCAAGGCCCTTAAGGGCATTCAAGAACCTGGCAGGTTCCATGAGTCTTCTAGAGCGGGCAAGGATTGGTTTGACAGTTTGGGAAGGAGGGGATGGAGTCTCAATCCGGGCCTTCAGGGCAGTGTGGTCGGACCAGGGGACATCCATTACCGCTGATAAAGATGTCCGCACTCAATATAGAAAATCAGGTCTAAAGTATGACCGGTTCGATGAGTGGTTGTTAGTTTTGGCCCATCTCTCTAATCTGTCAAGATCATTTTGAATCCTGCTCCTGTCCTCTGGAGTATTGGCTATCCCTCCCAATTTGGTGTCGTCTGCAAACTTGATGATCATGCCTTCTAGCCCTTCATCTAAGTCATTAATAACGATGTTGAACAGGACTGGGCCCAGGACAGAACCCTGCGGCACTCCGCTCGTCACTTCTTTCCAAGATGAAGAGTAAGCATTGGTGAGCACCCTCTGGGTTTGTCCATTTAACCAAGTATTGTTCTTTCATGCATTTTGCACTACAAGCAAGAGACGTCCAGTGTGCACAGGAATTCATTCATTTTTTTCAAAGTATACTCTGAAGGACCGTATGTACTGACCCCTGGTTTCAAATGTTTGAAAATCCTAATCGAAAACGTTTAGAGACGACTGACTTGATATTTTGCTGACAAACTGGAGTCCAAAAGATCAGAGTATCATTGTATTTGAGAATGAATTTTGGTTTGTAAATCCAAATCCAGTTAAATTGTGACTTCTGCGAGTTCTGGACACAGTTACCTTTTAACAGTCCTGCTCACCGGAACAAAGAAATTGCACAACGCAGCTGCGTGAGGAGCAGTGTGAGTGGCCTCAACGAGGTAATGGGGCAGAAGCAAGAGCAAAGGGCCTTTGGGCAGCAGCAGCCTCTTCCTAACCAAGAAACTTCACTGCTCAGCACATTTGACACACAAGGTCTGTGGGTAAGCATGATGGGGAATCTGCCCAGTACCAGGCCTTGCCAATATTACTTTTTAAACTATACCTTCCAGAATCTCCCAGCCTGGAATATTGCATTCAAATCACCCCTGACAGATGGCCATCCAGCCTCTGTTTAAAAGCTTCCAAAGAAGGAGCCTCCTACCACACTCCGGGGCAGAGAGTTCCACTGCTGAACAGCTCTCACAGTCAGGAAGTTCTTCCTAATGTTTAGATGGAATCTCCTTTCTTGTAGTTTGAAGCCATTGTTCCACGTCCTAGTCTCCAAGGAAGCAGAAAACAAGCTTGCTCCCTCCTCCCTGTGGCTTCCTCTCACATATTTATACATGGCTATCATATCTCCTCTCAGCCTTCTCTTCTTCAGGCTAAACATGCCCAGCTCCTTAAGCCGCTCCTCATAGGGCTTGTTCTCCAGACCCTTGATCATTTTAGTCGCCCTCCTCTGGACACATTCCAGCTTGTCAATATCTCTCGTGAATTGTGGTGCCCAGAATTGGACACAATATTCCAGGTGTGGTCTAACCAAAGCGGAATAGAGGGGTAGCATTACTTCCCTAGATCTAGACACTATGCTCCTATTGATGCAGGCCAAAATCCCATTGGCTTTTTTTGCCGCCACATCACATTGTTGGCTCATGTTTAACTTGTTGTCCACGAGGACTCCAAGATCTTTTTCACACGTACTGCTCTCGAGCCAGGCATCCCCCATTCTGTATCTTTGCATTTCATTTTTCCTGCCAAAGTGGAGTATCTTGCATTTGTCACTGTTGAACTTCATTTTGTTAGTTTTGGCCCATCTCTCTAATCTGCCAAGATCGTTTTGAATCCTGCTCCTGTCCTCTGGAGTATTGGCTATCCCTCCCAATTTGGTGTCGTCTGCAAACTTGATGATCCTGCCTTCTACCCTTCATCTAAGTCATTAATAAAGATGTTGAACAGGACCGGGCCCAGGACGGAACCCTGCGGCACTCCGCTCGTCACTTCTTTCCAGGATGAAGAGGAAGCATTGGTGAGCACCCTCTGGGTTCGTCCATTTAACCAATTACAGATCCACCTCACCGTAGTTTTGCCTAGCCCACATTGGACTAGTTTCCTTGCCAGAAGGTCATGGGGGACCTTGTCGAAGGCCTTACTGAAATCCAGGTACGCCACATCCACGGCATTCCCCACATCTACCCAGCTTGTAACTCTATCGAAAGAAGAGATCAGATTAGTCTGGCATGACTTATTTTTGATAAATCCATGTTGACTATTAGCGATGACCGCATTTGTTTCTAAGTGTTTGCAGACCACTTACTTAATAATATTTTCCAGAATCTTGCCTGGTATCGACATGAGGCTGACCGGACGGTCGTTGTTTGTGTCATCCTTTTTTCCCTTCTTGAAGATTGGGACCACATTGGCCCTCCTCCAATCTGCTGGAACTTCTCCCGTTCTCCAAGAACTCTCAAAGATGATTGCCAATGGTTCCGAGATTACTTCCGCTAGTTCCTTCAATACTCTTGGGTGTAGTTTTTCTGGCCCCGGGGACTTGAACTCATTTAGAGTGGCCAGGTATTCCTGGATGACTTGTTTCCCAATTTGGGGTTGGATGTCCTCTAATCCCTCATCCACTCCATCTTGCTGAGGTTGAAGATGACTTTCTTTTTGTGAGAAGACCTTGGCCTGCACTTAAAACACAATTGGCAGGCCAAGGTCTTTAGGCACTGCACCCCGTGTGGCGATCACCACTGGGACCACCTTTACTGGCTTGTGCCAGAGTTCTTGTTCTCTGATGTTCTGGAGACTAGGACACAATGGAACAATGGCTTCAAATGACAGGAACGGAAGGGAATTCCATCTGAACCTTAGGAAGAACTTCCTGACAGGGAGAGCTGTTCAGCAGTGGAACTCTCTCTCTGCCCCAGAGTGTGATGGAGTCTCCTTCTTTGGAAGCTTTTAAGCAGAGGCTGGGTGACCACCTGTTGGTGATGCCTTGAATGAAATTTTTCTGCTTCTTGGCAGAATGGGGTTGGACTGGATGGCCTCCCAGGTCTCTTCCAACTCTAGGATTCTATGATTCTATGTAATGCTATCTTAGCCTGCATTAATGGAAGTATAGTTTCCAAATCAAGAGAAGTCATAGCCCCCTTATTTAAGGACCTGCCATTTTCAGAGTTGGCAGATATAAATAAGATAGTACAGGTATGCTTTTTGGTGCGCGCGCGTATGCCTGCTGTTCCTTCTTTTTGAGGACTGGAAATCTTTCTGAATCTTCCTGTAGGGCTGGGCGGTTTCGTTTCGTAATTTCGTAATTCGTTAAAAATTCGTTATTTTTTTTTATAACGAAGCGATTTTGAACCATTCAGGAGCATCTAAAAAACGAAACGAATTTTTCAATTCGTTTCGTAATTGCTTCGTATTCGTTTTGTATTCGTTTCGAAATCATTTCGAAATCGTTTCGTTATTATTTCCGCATGTCTGGGGCAAGTTTTACAGTTGTTTGTTTAATTAGTGAAAAAAAATTATAATATCACACCAACAGTCAACAACAGAGGGAGAGGGAAGCTTCAGAAGTTCCCCCTGTCCCATTTGGAGGTTTTTTAGCGTATTTCGCGGTCGCGTCCGCCATTAACGAATCGATTCGTATTCGTTTCGTATTCGTTTCGTATTGTTTCGTAATTTTACGAAATTTCGTAAATATCGAACTTTTTTAAAGAAAAATTTCGGAATTCTTTTAAATATCGAAACGCAAAAAAACCCCAAAAAACGAATCGAGTTTAGAAACAAATTTTTCCGTGGTTGCCCAGCCCTATCTTCCTGCTACAATTTTAAAAGTTTATCAGATGCAATCAATATCTTTTAATGGTTATCTCACAAAAATGCTCACACCATGGAAGAACAATACAAGTTGCTCTCTCAAATAGCACCAAAGGGAGCTCTCACAAAAGATAATGTGGCAGAATTCATCATATCATCATATCATTTGACCGTCCCAGTATAAGAACTAGAAACCTTCCTCCTGCCTCGCTGAGATTTTAATCCTAGGCTGAATGTATCTCTGTGCTACCATGAACAAAAATAATCTGTGAAATGTAAAAAGAATATCCATACTTTGTCCTTGTCTTCATGAACAGCAAATGATGAAGACATAGCAAGCATAGTTAGTCACAATGACCACACTGAGTTTCCTTTCGTGGAGATCAGGATCATTTTATTCCACAAATCACAACACTTTTCCGAAAAAGTATGCAGAATAATTTCAGGAAAAAAGTTTCCTTGTGTGTCATGGATTAACAGGGTGACGGACAAACAGAATAGTCAATTGCACACATGCAACCTTGTTTTTTAAAGTTTTAGAGCGGAAAAAAGAAAACTAGATCTGTTGGTGGAATGAGCCAACTCCCAAATAAGGGAGTCTTTTGCACAAGCTGCATCTATGCAGCCATATAATGCAGCGTGGGTATCAATGTAGCCTGGTACATCCACACAACGCACACAGGCTAATGCAATTTAACCAGGGTAAGCTACTTAATGCAGCTAGAGCAGGCATGGACCATCTTCGGCCCTCCCTCCAGGTGCTTTGGACTCCAACTCCCACAATTCCCAACAGCCTATCGCCAGTTAGGAATTGTGGAATTTGGAGTCCAAAACACCTGGAGGGAGGGCTGAAGTTGGCCCATGCCTCAGCTAGACCCCAGCTTAAAAAAGCACACACACACACCAGGGAAGGTCGGACTCCTGTTGCAGGATTTGCACTTTCTTTTGTGTTGTTGCAGTGGGGATAGTTATCCTGAATCTCAATGCAGGATCCACGATTGTGTCCCCACAGTCATCCCACATTCCCTGGGCCCGTGATACCCTTGTATGGCCTCAATGCAGCTCAGAGTTGGCATTTTTCATGCCAGTTCCGAGCCGCATCATGTGCCTGTGTGGAAGGGCCTTCAAACATCACAGTGAAGGGCTCTTTTAACATAACATAAGCAGCATTCCATAGATCCTTCACTATTCCTTGTGATCACCTTAGTGACTGTGCACCATTTAGGGAAGAGCCACAACACAGTAACAGAATACATGCCTTGCATGTAACGATCCCATATTCAGTTCGCAGCACCTCAGGTAAGGCTGAAAAAGAGCTCTGTGTTGATATACTTGGAAACTTCTACCACTAACCAAAGAAGACAGTACTGAGCTACATGGACTATGAGTCTGACACACCATAAGGCAGCTTTATGTATTCTGGAGTCCATCAACACGGCTCATAGCAGAGGTGGGAGAACAATGAGACCTTCCAAGCCAATCCTCCCCTTTCTTTTTTCACTCCCTCTCTCGTCTCCTACTCAAGAAGAAACTGTTTCTTGGGACCCTCATCTTTGTCTTCATAAAACACATGGCTACATTTTTCTTAGTCACTTTGTCACACTGAGGGCTGTAAGATTGATCTTGTCAGGTATTCTCCGAAAATGACAAGCGGACTTCTTCTGATTAGAAAGTCTTCTGTTTTCCAGCTGGCTTTCCATGTTTGCAGGGAAAGGGTTAGGAAGTATCTTTAAGCTCTGGACTTTGAGATGCTTGCAGGGGCACCTCTGTCGCCGGCGACTGCATTTCTTGGGATCTGTCTATAGGGATGAGAGAGAGAGAGAGAGAGAGAGATTGTTGAAAGACAGCATCATCAACTAATATTTATTTATTTATTTATTTCAAAGTTCACATTCTCACCTCATTGAGGGACTCAGCCCGGTTTCCAACCATAAAAACACATACAATCAGTAAAATATCATAGTTCACAATTACAGTAACACATTTAAAATAACAATATATTTAAAACTACGGTGGTCAGTCGTCATATTAAAATCAAATATACATCATCTTCCATCCAAAACCTTAGGGTGTTGTCTCATTCATCGAAAGCCTGTCTCCACAACCACGTCTTCACCCATTTCCTAAATGTCAGGATAGACGGGGCGGTTCTGACCTCCGGGGGGGAGAGAGTTCCAGAGTCGCGGGGCCATCACCGAGAAGGCCCTGTCCCTCGTCCCCCCCAGGCGCGCCTGTGTGGCCGGTGGGACCGAGAGCAGGGCCTCTCCAGACGATCTTAATAATCTTGATGGTTCGTAAGGGAGAATACGTTCGGAGAGGTAAACAGGGCCGGAGTCGTTTAGGGCTTTATAGGTTAACACCAGCACTTTGAATTGTGCTCGGAAGCTAATTGGCAGCCAGTGGAGCTGGTGTAACAGCGGAGTGGTGTGCTCCCTGTACCCAGCACCCATTAGTAATCTGGCTGCCGCGCGTTGGACTTGCTGCAGCTTCTGGGCAGTCTTCAAAGGCAACCCCACGTAGAGAGCGTTGCAGTAATCTAAGCGGGATGTAACCAAAGCGTGGACTACCATGGCCAAGTCAGACTTCCCAAGGTACAGGCGCAGCTGGCGCACAAGTGATGAGTCCAGGAGAACTCCCAGACTGCGAACCTGCGCCTTTAGGGGGAGTGTGACCGCATCCAGCACAGGCTGAAACCCCGTACCCTGTTCGGCCTTACGACTGACCAGGAGTACCTCTGTCTTGTCTGGATTTAGTTTCAATCTGTTGGCCCTCATCCAGTCCGTTACAGCGGCCAAGCACCGGTTCAGGACCTGAACAGCCTCCTTAGTAGCAGGTGGAAAGGAGTGATAGAGTTGGACATCATCTGCGTACAGATGACACCGCACCCCAAAACTCCGGATGATCTCTCCCAACGGCTTCATGTATAATAGGGATCAAACACTTTCTGTAGCCTCAAATCACTACAGGCTTGAGGGAGAGCACATCAAACCATTCTCTAGTAGATCTTTTCCCAGGAAAATGATACATGCTATCTGGGAAGATAGAGTGGAACACATGTTTTGCATGAAAACCTATTGCTCCTATCAGCCCTACAAAAGTGCAAGGAATTACACTTGATAACATGATTTTTATTCCTGGGTTAGAAATGTCATTTCTAATTGGTTCTATCATAAAAAACATGTCATTTTTAATTAAACTCAAAAAACTTTGTTTCTGCAAGAGGGACAATCCGCAGCACATATTGCTCAAGGTGACGGGCGCTAACTGCCAGCTGCAGTAAATCTTGCCAATTTAAAGGTTGACAGTTCAAGCCCAGGTTGGGGTGAGCTCCTGGCTGTCAGCCCAGCTTCTGCCCACCTAGTAGATCGAAAACAGCAATGTGAGTAGATCAGTGATTCTCAGTCTGTGGGTCCCCAGATGTTTTGGCCTACAACTCCCAGAAATCTCAGCTAGTTTACCAGCTGTTAGGATTTCTGGAAGGCCAAAATATCTGGGGACCCATGGGTTGAGAACCACTGGAGTAGATTAATAGGTATCGCTTTAAAAAAAAAAAGGAGGGAAGTCATAAAGGTGTCAATAAAAAAGGACATACTGATGATTCAATGATTTGATGGGGCTATGGACAACAAAAATGTTCCTCAGCATGGAAGATTGAGCAACAGCGCCCCTTTGAGGTCAGCCTCCAGATGTTGGAGATGGAAAAATGCCCATACCTCTATTTATGTATTGTTTATCCTTTCAATTGTATAATGGCATTGAATGTTTGTCTATATGTGCTCTGAGTTTCCTGTGGGGCGAGAAGAGTGGGATAGAAAGGATGCAAATAAAATAAACAACCTTTTTTCAATGAATATCTCATTGAATCCCAAACAGTCCAACCTAGTTTGTAGCAGCCACCAAAACTATAAAGTTTCTGGAGCAGAACAACTACTTTCAAAGTCAGCACTGCACAATTGAACAGGAAATCATACTTGCAAACCAGGAACAGACAATTTTTCCAATTTTGTTACATAGTGTTACAGGATTTCTATGATTCTGTTCTATAGGTCAATAACTAACAACATCTGGAGTACCACAATTATCCACCTTTACATAGATAATACTGAACGTCTGGGTACAAACTGTCTCTACAACATATGATTCTATGATTCTATATCATAGAATCAAAGAGTTGGAAGAGACCTCATGGGCCATCCAGTCCAACCCCCTACCAAGAAGCAGGAATATTGCATTCAAAGCACCCCTGACAGATGGCCATTCAGCCTCTGTTTAAAAGCTTCCAAAGAAGGAGCCTCCACCACACTCCTGGGCAGAGAGTTCCACTGCTGAACAGCTCTCACAGTCAGGAAGATCTTCCTCATGTTCAGAAGGAATCTCCTTTCGTGTAGTTTGAAGCCATTGTTCCTCGTCCTAGTCTCCAGGGAAGCAGGAAACAAGCTTGCTCACTCCTCCCTGTGACTTCCTCTCACATATTTATACATGGCTATCGTATCTCCTCTCAGCCTTCTCTTCTTCAGGCTAAACATGCCCAGTTCTTGAAGCCGCTCCTCGTAGGGCTTGTTCTCCAGACCCTTGATCATTTTAGTCGCCCTCCTCTGGACACATTCCAGCTTGTCAATATCTCTCTTCAATTGTGGTGCCCAGAATTGGACACAATATTCCAGGTGTGGTCTAACTAATACATGTGCAAAGCCCAAAAAGATTTTGATTTTATCAGGTGACATCAGCCTGGATTTCTGTTTGTCTGGTCTGCACTGTTGCCACAATTGGGATTGAGATCCCAAGAACATCAATTTGGCCGAAAGAGAGGTCAATGGTGTGCAGGTACAGCTGTATCAGGAGCTCCAATTTTGTTTGCTTTGTATTGTATGCTTGTTGCAGTCCTAAGTTTCAGGGACTCTGCAGATAGGTGGCTTCTTTTGGCTGCAATCATAGGGCAAGCCACCTGTCAATTATAGTTAGGTTCCCTGGTCCCACCCCTTTTTGGGTTTTTGGAGGGAATAGGAGCCTTTTTGGGTTCAGTCCACACAGAGAAGCTTTCCATGCAGGACATAATACCAAGAGCTCCTGTGAAGCTTCGTCTTCTACAGCTTGGCCGGGGTTATACAGTCCACAGCTTGGCCGAGGATCATACAGCCTTACAGCTCCTTTGCTGAGGGACTTCAGCCAGCCATCACCGAAACCTGAACTCCTTTTTCCTCTGGAAGTCTACAAAGCTCTGCTTGGTAAGGGTCACTCGCGGAAGCCAGAAGCAGTTGGTACCGGGTGCAGGGGCTCCACGCCAACAGAGGCAAAGACAGACTGCCCAGATTAGAAGTTAAGGATTTCCCAATTAGTTACAGTTATGAAGATAGTGCCTGTTCCCTGTGGACAAGATTGAGAGAGAGCCAATAGACTGTTAAGAAAGCCTTAAAGTACCTGTTTGTTTTCAATAATAAAGAACTTTGTTGAACCTTTAAGCAATCTAAAGACTCTGTTTTAAGGAAATCCCTTTAATCTGAGGCAGCCCCGGCATCCCGTTGGGCACACAGAATTTATGTCCTGTCTACAGTCTTATGCACAGGCCCAGCGTGCGACAGCACAAATGGAAAATGAGAAATTCCATGGGGCAGAGTGGAGGCTGGACAATGCCACACAGAGAACGTGTGTTCAGATGGCCAAAGATGTACAAGGCTGATGGAGTTCACCTCTCAGAGGAGAGGAATGTTTTGTTTGTGGACAAATTGAAAAAGAGAATGGAGAATATGTTGGTCAGCCTAGTGGGAAAAGGGGCAGGCCGACGCCTGCCCCTTTTCATGGCATGATAAAGGTTAAATAGTCATTGTAGGCACAGTGGCACCCCCGCCTAAGAGGGTGAAGGATGCTCCCACCCAGAAATGAATGAATGAATGAATGAATGAATGAATGAATGAATGAATGAATGAATGAATAGACACAGAAATCCAAAGGGTTAAAGCAGAGGCTGGGTAACATTAAGAAGACCTCCAGTTAGTGAGAGTGCCCACTCCAAGCCATTGGTTCCACTAACAAATTTATCCCAAAGACTAACCAAAATAATGTAACAACATTTGAATCTTGCTCTGTCCTGCAAATTAGTCTTTGCCCTCTTCCTTGTGACAGTCCTTCAGGTATAAGTTTCATAAAATGAGAGTTACCCTTGGGGCTGGATTGGGGGTTCTCACTCCTAAAAATCCCGGCGGGTTGGCCTTCCAACTATGATTGGCTGACAGGTGCAGCCAAAGAATTTTGGTTGGCCTTCGGGATCCTTGGTGCATGCATGTCCTTGGAGGTGGCCAGACGGAGTGACACCTGGCCCATGGACAAGGCTCACTAGGTCGCTATTAACCCATGAGTTACATTGTATGAGTGTGGTGGAGGCTCCTTCTTTGGAAACTTTTAAACAGAGGCTGGATGGCCATCTGTCAGGGGTGATTTGAATGCAATATTCCTGCTTCTTGGCAGGGGGTTGGACTAGATGGCCCATGAGGTCTCTTCCAACTCTTTGATTCTATGATTCTATGTGTTTACAGATTTTCCTTTTACAGGTTATTGCAAGTTCTTTCAATAAATAGGTCAGAAAATGGCCCTTTAGAGCCATTTTCTTGTGTCTGGTCTCTTTATTTCATGGTGGGGGTTCAAAAGCCTGCTCCCTCCTCCCTATGACTTCCCCTCAGATATTTATCATCATGTCTCCTCTCAGCCTTCTCTTCTGAGGGTGAAACATGCCCAGCTCTTTTCAGCCTCTCCTCATAGGGCTTGTTCTCCAGACCTTTGATCCTCTGAGTCGCTCTCCTCCAGCTTGCCAAGTCCCATCCAAATAAATTGAAGGAAGTTAAAGAGTTACATTGATTGAGACCACCAATTGGAACAGGAACTTAAGAGAATACCATTGTCCTCTACCTGAGTTTAGAGACATTTCTGCCAATTTCAGCGGCAGGTCAGTCGGCCCAACTCCAGCAGGCGATCCAAGGATGTCGGGCAAGGCATTCCTTCGGCCAGTGCGCCCGGAAGATGCAAAATCCAACACTGGCTCGACCTCTGTCATTTTCTGAAATGGCAGCTTGAGAAAGGGTTTCTCCAAAGGTTACTGCAAGTGAAAAGGAGGAAAAGTGTAAGAGTACCGATTCTCTGGCCCTGTTTATCAAAGATATGCAAATACAAAAGGCACATCATGGCATTTTCTTTCTCAGGACATCAGCTTTTGTTAACAAAGACATCCCTCTGTGGGTTTATATATGTTCTGGTGCTATAGTACTTTTAGTATTATAGTATAGGCTTTTAAAGAAGGAGCTTTTTAAGATTGTCAGGGGCTGCTGTGATTTCATATTCTTTTAATGATGTTTAATACTGTTTTAAGACTTGAATATTTGTATGTTTTAAGTTGCATTGCAATCACAATGCTTGGGTCTCCATGTGGAGAGAAAAGGCGGGATATAAATAAACTTAATAATAAACATAAACATAAACATAAACATAAACATAATAATAATAATAATAATAATAATAATAATAATAATAATAAGGTATGTCCACCGTCTACAATCATTGCCATGCTATCTGGGACTGATTTGAGATGGGATCCAAAAATGTTCAGGTGACCTCAAGTCTCTTTTTCTGGTCTATTTGATACTGAACTGAGGGCCCTTCTACACTGTCATATAATCCAGAATATCAAGGCAGATAATCATAGAATCATAGAGTTGGAAGAGATTCTATGATTATGGAGATTGAGGCAGGGGTCCTTGGTGTGACCGCACAACTTTCCGGAGGTGATTTTGTAACAAAGGTTAAGGGAAAACAAAAGGTGCAGCCTGGTGGATCTTGCAGAGCCATGGTTACCATTTGATATAATTTTATATGATTCATAATTTGGAGGGCCCAACTTCTCAGTAACACCTGCAAGGCAGGAGTTGGGCTGGATGGCCTTGTGGTCTCTTCCACAATGATATGATAATCCTGTGCTGTCGCACATTGGGCCTGTGCACATGACTGTAGACAGGACATAAATTCTGTGTGCCCAACGGGACGCCGGGGCTGCCTCAGATTAAAGGCCCTTGGACCTCCCCAAAACAAAGTTCTGTAGAGGCTTAAAGTAAGTCCAACAATGTTCTTTATTAATGAAAACAAACAGGTACTTTAAAGCTTTCTTAACAGTCTATTGGCTCTCTCTCAATCTTGTCCACAGGGAACAGGCACTATCTTCATAAACTGTATTTTAGCTAATAGGGAAATCCTTAACTTCTAATCTGGGCAGTCTGTCTTTGCCTCTGTTGGCGTGGAGCCCCTGCACCCAGTATCAACTGCTTCTGGCTTCCGTGAGTGACCCTTCTTTGTAGACTTCCAGGGAAAAAGGAGTTTAGGTTTCAGTGATGGCTGACTGAAGTCCCTCAGCGAAGGAGCTGTAAGGCTGTATATCTTCTGGCCAAGCTATGGGGCTGTATTTCCCTAGCCAAGCCATAGAAGACAAAGCTTTTTACAGGAGCTCTTGGTTTTATGTCCTGTGTGAAAGGCTTCTCTGTGTGGACTGAACCCAAAAAGGGGGCGGGACCAGGGAACCTAACTATAATTGACAGGTGGCTTGCCCTATGATTCCAGCCAAAAGAAGCCACCTATCTGCAGAGTCCCTGAAACTTAGGACTACAACAAACATTCAATGCAAAGCAAACAAAATTGGAGCTCCTGGTACAGCTGTACCTGGACAACCATGTTTCAAGATTTCAAAGGGTGTCCTATTGAGGAGAAGGAGGGGGGGAAACTGACTTTCTGCTACTCTTGAGTCCAGGGCCCAAGGAAGCAATGGTTTCACATGGCAGGGAAAGGGATTTGGCTGAAAAGATTAAGAAGAACTTCCTGAGAATAATAATAATAATAATAATAATAATAATAATAATAATCTTTATTTATACCCCGCCACCATCTCCCCGATGGGGACTCAGAGCGGCTTACATGAGGCCAAGCCCAAACAACAATTACAATAAAGAAAACCAATACACAACTGAAACGCGAACAATAGACAATAACATCATAATTACATAAAACATATGGATACATAACAGTATAAAAATTACAATAGACACAGGTACAATGACAATGGGTGGGCTACATGTAATAATTAAAAGACAAACTGAATTACAAGTAATTAAAAACTCAGAGGAGATAAAAGAGAGAAGCAAATAATTTGCAGAGGAGGACTCATTTTGGCGGGGGTTGTGGAGTCAAACTTTCCCACAAGGGGGGGGGGGGGGACATCTACTCCAATGACAGAACTTTACGGCTAAACAGTTGTGTGAAATTGTGTATCTACTCATCAAAGGCGCAACGGAAGAGCCAGGTTTTAAGGTTCTTTTTAAAAACTTCTAGAGAAGGGGCTTTCCTAATTTCTCCAGGCGGTGAGTTCCAGAGTCAGGGAGCCACAGTGGAAAAAGCTCTCTCCCTTGTACTTACCAGGCAAGCTTGTGACACTGGCAGTGGCAAGAGCAGGGTCTCCCCAGAGGATCGGAGGGCCCAATGTGTAAGAGCTGTTGGAGAGTGGCCTAGGCTGCCTCAGAGTGTGGTGGAGTCTCCTTCTCTGGTGGCTTTTCCACAGAGGCTGTCTATTGGGAGTGCTTTAGTTTTGCCTTCTTGAATGGCAGGGGGTTGGACTGGATGGCCCTTGGGGGCAGGGCCGTAGCCAGAAAAAAAATTCGGGAGGGGTTGAAAATTTCGGGGGGGGGGGGGTTGAAAATTTCACGGGGGGGTTGAAACCTGCCTCCTAGCTCACGCTGAAGCAAAGAGCACAGCAGGGGGCAGAGCAGCCTTCAATAGCCTGCAGCTCCGCCCTTGTCAACCACCTCCACCAAGTCTGGCCTCCTTAATGAGAGCATTCAACATCCCCCCCCCCCAACTTGGTTGCTTCACTACTGTTCTGTCGCGTGCTGGGCCTGTAAATAATTGTCTTTAGAACAGGATGTGCAACCTTTGCCCAGCGGGAAGCCAGGGGGCCTAAAGAGAAGTTCTCAGAGGTTTCCACCACAAACAGTCTTTAGATGGCTTGAGAAACAACAAAGTCTTTTATTAATGAACAATCAAACAGAAACTGCTCTTGTCTTCAGTTAAGCAAATGATTCCAAGCCTTTAGGCAACTGGTGCATTCCTAATCTTGCCCACGAAGGACAGGCAACTGTCTTCAATAACTTCTTCTTTAAAGGAAAATCCCCTTTTTAACTTCTCCCAGGCTGACTGTAATCTAACCCTTACTGATGTGGGCTCCGCTACCGGGTCGAACTGCGTCTCGAACGCCGAGTGGACCTACCAGCAAGGCAGTAGATGTTCTCCAGCTGGAGTTCTTTGGCCTTTTGGGCTGTTTTCCTGGAAATTCTTTGGAGACTCTTAAGACCTTTCTCCCCCGGAAGGTCTTAAGGGTTGAAGCTTTTGTACAGGGGAAGCTTGCACACATCCTATACATAAGCTTACCTTGCTGAGACTAACTAAAAATGGCTCCCTTCCCTTCCCAATTGCCCTGAGCAAGGGGCGGACCAAAACTTAACAATGATGGACAGGTGACTTGCCCTATGACTGCAACCAAAGAAGCCACCTATCTGCAGAGTCCCTGAAACCTAGGACTGCAAGCAAACATTTAATACAAAGCAAATAAAGTTGGAGCTCCTGGTACAGCTGTACCAGAACAACTACATCGGCTATTGCTGCAAGTAATGACAGTGTGAATAAATTGCTAATATTTGCTTGAGATAGTGCTTGCAGTTCTGGAGGGACTCTTGATTTTTTTGCATCTCATAGACTTAGCATGGGGATTTGGTTAACCAGTTAAAATTCATGAGTAAACCAGGTTTTTTTAAAAAAATCTGAAACATTTCGGGGGGGGGTTGAACCCCTAAACCCCCCCCCCTCGCTACGGGCCTGCTTGGGGGTCTCTTACAGTTCTAGGATTCTTGGATTTTGTATCAGGAGTAGGCAATATGGGTTCTATTGGATTCACTTTTTCTTTCCAATCCACCATCTCATCCTGACCAAGAACAACCCTTTTGGGATCCAAAGGTTTCCTGTCTTTTCTTTCTGCCTCCAAAAGAGAAGAGGAAGGGAAGGGAAGGGCAGCGAGGGGTTTTGGGGAGAATCCCCTTCCCAACCCACTCTGGCCCACTATGCAGCTCCCAAGTTAGAAAGTTTGCCCATGCCTATATTAAAACCATCACACGTGTCCTTGTGTCATCAGAGAGCAGAGCCACTACTTCCAGCCTCTGCTCCTTCTATGTGAAGTGGACTGTAATTCACAGATATTTTGAGAGGTTTTGTTCATGTCCTATCAATAAGATGTTTGATCAATGTGGACACAGGACGAAGCCTGTGCTATTTTATAGCCTTCATTACTGAAGCATCCAACCATGTGATTTTACCATTCCAGAATGCATGCACCTGGCCCCCCTTCTACACTGCCATATAAAATCCAGATTATCTGCTTTGAACTGAATTATAAGGCAGTGTAGAAGGGGCCTTGAAGATTACATTTAAAAATAATACTAATACTATTATTTGAGAACACAGAAATGCTGGACCACTCCAACAACCACCATGTCAGACTACACAGAGAAGACATTGAAATCCACAAGCATGTGGACAATTTCAACAGAAAGGAGGAGACCATGAAAATGAACAAAATCTGGCTACCAGTATTAAAAAACTCAAAAATTACAACAGCAAAACAGCAGAGAGGAAACAACCAAGCACAGCTTAACACCTCTCAACAAAAGATTCTCCCAGGCTCAGCCAGGCCTTCAAATGCTAATGAAGGTGGTCAGTTGAAACATCCACACCTAGCTCCAGCAGAGAAGAGTCCTTTGTCCCACCCCCCATTCCACAGATATATAAACCCATTGTCCTATTTCCAACAGACCTCACACCTCTGAGGATGCTTGCCATAGATGCAGGCGAAACGTCAGGAGAAATGCCTCTAGAACATGGCCATATAGCCTGAAAAAACCCACAAGAACCTAATACTAATCTCCTTGCATAGGAAAAATCATGTCAGGGGGAAAAAGTTAGAAAAGTTAAAAAGCATATAGACTCTAAAGTGGAGCAATGATTAATTAAGACAATGGTGTGTATAATGGGCTCTCTCAGTTAAATGACGATAAGAAGCAGGAGGAAAGGAAGGGTTTCTTCTCAGGGCACATACTGTAGGTAGGAGCTTGGAAAATTTTGTTTAAAAATGGACCCCAAAAACTGAGTCAACTTACCCACAGGTTATCATTAAGTAAGTAATGTACCTCAACTCTTATCAATAAAGGAGTCCTTGTGGACAACAAGTTAAACATGAGCCAACAATGTGATGTGGCGGCAAAAAAAGCCAATGGGATTTTGGCCTGCATCAATAGGAGCATAGTGTCTAGATCTAAGGAAGTAATGCTACCCCTCTATTCCGCTTTGGTTAGACCACATCTGGAATATTGTGTCCAATTCTGGGCACCACAATTCAAGAGAGATATTGACAAGCTGGAATGTGTCCAGAGGAGGGCGACTAAAATGATCAAGGGTCTGGAGAACAAGCCCTATGAGGAGCGGCTTAAGGAGCTGGGCATGTTTAGCCTGAAGAAGAGAAGTCTGAGAGGAGATATGATAGCCATGTATAAATATGTGAGAGGAAGCCACAGGGAGGAGGGAGCAAGCTTGTTTTCTGCTTCCCTGGAGACTAGGACGCGGAACAATGGCTTCAAACTACAAGAAAGGAGATTCCATCTGAACATGAGGAAGAACTTCCTGACTGTGAGAGCCGTTCAGCAGTGGAACTCTCTGCCCCAGAGTGTGGTGGAGGCTCCTTCTTTGGAAGCTTTTAAACAGAGGCTGGATGGCCATCTGTCGGGGGTTATTTGAATGCGATGTTCCTGCTTCTTGGCAGGGGGTTGGACTGGATGGCCCATGAGGTCTCTTCCAACTCTTAGATTCTATGATTCTATGATTCTATGAATTGTCTCCTTCATTTGGAAAATGCTAGCACTGTCCCAGGATTAGATAATAGATATCATGACTAGAGGTGATGGGAGGAGTGATACAGTAAATCTGGAAGGCTGAGTTTGTGCTTTGTCAGAATAATGGGGTTTGCATTTCAATACAAGACTTATGGATATATGTGACTTTAAAATGCCTCTTAACTTTTCCCCAAGCTCAGAGCCACAAGGGCTGTTGAGCTACAATTCCCATTGTTCCCAGTCTGCATTGTGGACAATTCAAAATGATGGGAGTTGTCATTCAATAACATTGTGGGACCCACATTGGTTAAAAAGTAAAGAGCATTGACCACTATGTTAAAAACCTATAGTTGACCTTCTGTATCACAGATTCTCCATCCATGGATTCAAGCTTTTGAAGATTCCTTGGATATTCTTTTTTTGACAGGCAAAGATGTTTAAAAAACCATACAGGAGAGGAAAAGCCTACACATTGTCTCATATTTCTGTTGTCAGTTAAGATGGTCTAGACTAGAGATAGGGTTCTAAGATGGCCTGGATCAGGGCACCTCAAACTTTTTAAGCTGAGGGCCAGTTCATGGTCCGGGTTGGGAGCCGGACTATAGTTTGGAAAAAACACGAATGAATTCCTATGAACACAGCACATGACTTATTTGTAGTGCCAAAAATAAAGTAAAATAAATGAAAGGACAGTCCAATATTTAAAATGAAGAACAATTGCAACCAATATAAACATTCTAGTATTTCAGTGAGAAGTGTGGTCCTGCTTTCGGCTGATGAGAGAATCAAATGAATTAGAATCATAGAATCATAGAATCAAAGAGTTGGAAGAGACCTCATGGGCCATCCAGTCCAACCCCCTGCCAAGAAGCAGGAATATTGCATTCAAATCACCCCTGACAGATGGCCATCCAGCCTCTGTTTAAAAGCTTCGAAAGAAGGAGCCTCCACCACACTCTGGGGCAGAGAGTTCCACTGCTGAATGGCTCTCACAGTCAGGAAGTTCTTCCTCATGTTCAGATGGAATCTCCTCTCTTGTAGTTTGAAGCCATTGTTCCGCGTCCTAGTCTCCAAGGAAGCAGAAAACAAGCTTGCTCCCTCCTCCCTGTGGCTTCCTCTCACATATTTATACATGGCTATCATATCTCCTCTCAGCCTTCTCTTTTTCAGGCTAAACATGCCCAGTTCCTTAAGCCGCTCCTCATAGGGCTTGTTCTCCAGACCCTTGATCATTTTAGTCGCCCTCCTCTGGACACATTCCAGCTTGTCAATATCTCTCTTGAATTGTGGTGCCCAGAATTGGACACAATATTCCAGATGTGGTCTAACCAAAGCAGAATAGAGGTGTAGCATTACTTCCTTAGATCTAGACACTATGCTCCTATTGATGCAGGCCAAAATCCCATTGGCTTTTTTTGCCGCCACATCACATTGTTGGCTCATGTTTAACTTGTTGTCCACGAGGACTCCAAGATCTTTTTCACACGTACTGCTCTCGAGCCAGGCGTCACCCATTCTGTATCTTTGCATTTCATTTTTTCTGCCAAAGTGGAGTATCTTGCATTTGTCACTGTTGAACTTCATTTTGTTAGTTTTGGCCCATCTCTCTAATCTGTCAAGATCGTTTTGAATTCTGCTCCTGTCCTCTGGACTATTGGCTATCCCTCCCAATTTGGTGTCGTCTGCAAACTTGATGATCATGCCTTCTAGCCCTTCATCTAAGTCATTAATAAACATGTTGAACAGGACCGGGCCCAGGACGGAACCCTGCGGCACTCCACTTGTCACTTCTTTCCAAGATGAAGAGGAAGCATTAGTGAGCACTCTCTGTGTTCGTCCACTTAACCAATTACAGATCCACCTCACCGTAGTTTTGCCTAGCCCACATTGGACTAGTTTCCTTGCCAGAAGGTCATGGGGGACCTTGTCGAAGGCCTTACTGAAATCCAGGTATGCTACATCCACGGCATTCCCCGCATCTACCCAGCTTGTAGCTCTATCAAAAAGAGATCAGATTAGTCTGGCATGACTTGTTTTTGATAAATCCATGTTGACTATTAGCGATGACTGCATTTGTTTCTAAGTGTTTGCAGACCGCTTCCTTAGAGTTGTTGTTGTTGTTGTTGTTGTTGTGTACCTTCAAGTCATTTCAGAATTAGGGTGACCCTAAGTCTAAAGTTTAGGGTGGAGGATGAGGAAATGTCCTTGGAGGGCCACATCTGGCTTGCAGGTGTTGGTTTGGGACCCCCCCAGGTCTGGTTGGTTATGGCCCACGTGGCTACTCCTGAACATGTTTCCTACATCTTATTGAGATGCCAAATAATGCCATGAAGGATGGGGAGAGGAAAAAGGAATTACAATGAGAATATATGATCAGTTGATGCAGCTGCCCATTTATATACATTATGGGGAAAATGGCATGGAATTGGCATCAAAATGCTGCTGCTGGTCCACCTTGGCATGAACCAATATCCCTCTTATATAATATTTTTTTTAATTAATAGGCCGCCCTATCTTCCCAGGGGGACTCTTGGCTTGGACCCACCTTTTTAACCAGGTCCAGGCCCTCATTACAGATATTTGCCCCCTTTTCCAAGCTCACTGTTACCCAGGCACCCAGAATAATGTTTTCCCTTGTACCAATATGTACAGGAAACATCAGTGATGGTCTACCCGACAACAGAAGTTCAAACTTGCCCAGATGATATTACCATCTACAACGAGGAGTCCTTAAAACTATGGAACTGCAGGGAACACGCTCTAGTATAGGCTTTAATCACTCAAAGGTCATCTCGGTCCTTGTAATGGAAGCATTTTTTAATACACACATGTGGTCTGGCCACAAAGAAGGAAAAAGCAAGCCATCAAAATTCTTATTTTGGGGAAAGTTTAATTTCTTTGCATGGCACCCCTATGCTTACTAACATTCTCCTTCCTATCTCTACTACTTTCATCTTTTGCTTTTCAGTACCCAAGGATCAAGTGCTGGCTTTCTGTATGGATACTAAACACACAGTGTTTTGTGTGTGCGCGCGTGTATGAGTAAACTGATTGAACTGATTGAAGGACCCAGAAGATCAGAATCTCAAAGAGACACCTGTAACATTTCTCTCCAACTCCTCCTCCTCCTGTCACCCTGCCATGTTTCTTCTTCCCTTCTTCATGCATAAAAAACCCAAGCATAGAAAGGGCAGGAAGAGCAAGCAATCTGGTTCACTTACCAAATGGAGAGGTTGGTTTCCAAAGAGGTGGCTTCAGGTGTGGGAGGCTTGGGAAACCAGGGAATCTGCTTCAGGAAAGGCGCCTGTTGTCTTCACTGTGCCCAGGCAGCCTCCATGGTCCCCTAAAGCATCTCCATCTCCATCTCTCTCTCTCTCTCTCTCTCCTTGGCTGAACCTATTTCATGATGCTCTGGGTATCAGCAGACTGGAAGTTGCCTGCCTGCCTGAGGTGCCTGCCGAATCTACCAATCGCTTGGAAGGGGGAAACATGCACACAGAGCATCTTTCTCTCTGGCTGGCCAGCCCTAGCATAGAGCAGTCCCCCCCAAATGCTTGGTTTGCAAGAGCAGGTTTCTGTCTGGCACACGAACTGACTATATCCCCTCTCTGCTCCATATTTTTCCTCCAGTTCCTCCCTCCTGCCCTTCCTCCCAGAGGACACAACACTTGGTACCTGCCATTCTACACATGCCTGTTCTGAGCTGCTGGGGTTGTGGATTATCTTTCCCGACCTACCCTGCTTTTTAAATGCAAGTCAGTAGCCTCCCTTTATTCTGCGATGTGTGGCGTTCTTCTTTCTTTTCCTTCCTTCTTTCTCTCTCCTCTCTTCTTTTCTGTTGTGCTGATCCATCGCTGAGCAACAGGTTATTTTTGTGGGCTCCTCTCCCTTGTTTTTCATATATTCGCAGAGAACCTTGAGACTGATGACAGCATGGCATCAAAATTAAATTTTCCAGGATATTTTTAAATGGAGGGCTTCCAGTGCTATTATGAAAATATCCTGTGCCCATAGTCTGTGTGTGCTGCTCATGTGTGAAAACAACCATTAACCTCTTCAAAAATATTAACTCAAAAGGCATTCCCATTTAAGGGGGAAGCATATTTTAAAGTCCTTGTTATCCATTGTTTATAAGTGGGTGTTAGAAACAATATCATACGAAAGCTGACTGGCACAACGTGGGGATCACAACCGGACACAGTGAAGACATCTGCTCTTGGACTATGCTACTTTGCTGCCAAGTACGCATGCCCAGTGTGGAACACATCTCACCACACTATAACAGTGGATGTGGCTCTTAATGAGACATGCCGCATTATCACGGGGTGTCTGCACCCTACACCACTGGAGAAATTACACTGTTTAGCCGGTATCGCACCACCTGACATCCGCCGGGAAGTAGCAGCCAATAGTGAGAGAACCAAGGCAGTGACATCTCCAGCTCATCCCCTGTTTGGGTATCAGCCAGCACGTCAACGACTTAAATCAAGAAATAGTTTTCTGAGATCTACAGAGACAATCGCTGGAACACTCCAGCAAGCCAGAGTCCAAAGGTGGCAGGCTAAAACCCAGAACCTCAACCAATGGCTGATACCAAATGAGAGACTCCCCCCTGGGCACACAGAAAACTGGGCGAGTTGGAAGGCACTGAACAGACTGCGCTCTGGCACCACGAGATGCAGAGCCAACCTTAAGAAATGGGGCTACAAAGCGGAATCCACGACATGCGAGTGTGGAGAAGAGCAAACTACAGACCACCTGCTGCAATGCAACCTGAGCCCTGCATGCACAATGGAGGACCTTCTTATAGTAACACCAGAGGCACTCCAAGTGGCCAGCTACTGGTCAAAGGACATTTAATCAACTACCAAGCTTGCAAACTTTGTGTTTTGTTTGTTTGTTAAAAAAAATACAGTACAACTATTTGGTCTGCTCCTGACACGATAAATAAATAAATCCATTGTTTATGAAAAGCTTGCAAGCAGCCCCCTTTTCTGTAAACAAGGGACGGCCAGCTCGCAAATTCTGGAGAAAGATGCCTGTCCCAACTCTGCCTTCCACAGTGGGTTTGGCTGAGGGTGCTGTTCAAAGTGCTGTCTCTTTTGTCTGTGAAAAACAACATGCATGCTTTCCTTCAGGACTGATTTTAATCATTGCACACACACACACACATGCAAATGGAACCATTTGCAGAGTAGAACTCATTTGAAAAACAGATGCTGTCTTGTTCAAGACTCTTTTAGTCATATGTTCACATCTAATGAAATAGTAGATTAGGACGCACCTGATTAATGGATTGGGTGCCATTTGACTGCCCCTCTCCCCAAGACCATTTCAGTTCTCAGTTAATTACAGGGATGATGTATTTTCAGCCTCCTCTCCCTATTACAATGAAACACATTGTAAATCTGGTGATGTAAGAAGTCCCTAAGGCCCTCCTCATCCAAGGTTTGTCACCCTAAGCAACGTGGCTCATGAACAAGTTGCATAGCTTTTCTGCATGAAACGCGACCTCCTCATTCAAAACCGCACCACCTGCCTTGTGCCTTTTGGATTCTTAGTTGCTCCGGTCAGGCTTCACTTGTTTCCAGAACCTGGGAAGGATTCCCACATTTATTCGAGTCTAATACCTTTTCATTGCTAAATTACATTGTCAAAATTGAGGTGTGCTTTAGAATCACACACATCAACCACCTGTGTGATTTGGGCCCAGCTCACTAATGTGTTAAGGTTCTTTTGAATTCTGATCCTGCCCTTCCTGATTTTCCCTCCCATTTCCTGCAGGGCTTCCAGTTTGGACTCTTCATCTTCTACCACTTTCAGAAAGACTTCCCATCTTCTTTTCAAAGAAACTTGCCACCGCATCACTACTAATACTGATGCTTTTTTTTTTTGTGCCTTCAAGGCATTTTTGGTTTACAGTGACCCTATCATTTTTGTGTGTGTGCAGAATTGTGTTCAGAGATGGTTTGTCCTCAACTTTCTTTGAGGCCGAGAGACTATAATTTGCTCAAGGTGACCCAATGGTTTTCCAAGGCTGAGGGGAATACAAAACCTAGCCTTCAGAGTCAAAGACAGCCCAACACTCAAACCACTATGTCACTCTGTTTCTCGCCACTAAAACAGCAAACTGAAATGCTGAAATTCTCTTGTTAGTCAGCATTTGATGTCATACTTGCATAGCTTTAGCTTCTTCCCCAGCTTTATTTCCTCTTGAACTTTAATAATGAAATTATGGGAAATAAATTGGCAAGAACAAACGGTAGATCGACATTTGCATTAAACCTACGATTACATTTTATGAAAAGTTTTTGGAGGTGCCAGCTGTAGCTGTCAAACGTCATTTTGGACAAGTGGAAAAATGTATCAATTTTCAGGAAAGATATTACAAAAATAAGACTATATGTAAAGATATATATGTGTGTGTGTGTGTGTGTGTGTGTAGTGATTAAGAAACAGAACTTGAAGTCCAATTAATTAGCAAAATGTTCCAGCTTCCATCCTTCTCAGTTGCTTAAAATACATATTTTATTTTAAGTAACCAAGTTGGAAATCAAAATGTTTTGTGTATTGATCTCGGAATGGTCTTCCTAAACATTCCAATAAATCTTGGGGCATCTCTGTCTTTGTTTTTACATCTTTCTATATGGCTGTTCTACATGGTTTAAAGGTAAAGGTTTCCCCTGACATTAAGTCTAGTCGTGTGTGACTCTGGGGGTTGGTGCTCATCTCCATTTCTAAGTTGAAGAGCTGGCGTCCGTAGACACCTCCAAGGTCATGTGACCATGGGCATTACTGCATGGAACGGTGTTGCCTTCCCACCAGAGCGGTACCTATTGATCTACTCACATGTGCATGTTTTCGAACTGCTAGGTTGGCAGAAGCTGGGCCTAACAGCAGGAGCTCACCCCGCACACCAGATTCAAACCATCAACCTTTTGGTCAGCAACTTCAGCAGCTCAGTGGTTTAACATGCTGTACCACCAGGAAGACAGTCATGATAATAGAGTTTGAATCTGGCTGAAGGGTAGGGTGGTCCTCCAAACTCCGCCCCCCTCCCAATGCATTCTGCATTACACATCAAGCCAGAAACAGCATTAAAAAAACCTGAACAGAAACCTGGAATAAGCAAAACAAAAACAAAATAACAACAACACTGCAGCTGACAAGAGTACATCATCGCATGCAGGGCTCGAAACAGGACTGAGGGAGGAACCCACACTTTTTAGGGTGGTTGTCTAACTGTAGATACTGCACTTTTGGGGTTGGGTTTAGTCCACATCTAGTGAATACTGTGGCCACTGCCCCAGCCTTGAACCATTTCCTGGAGTGTTTGTGCCCAATGAAACTGGTTCATTTTAATTCACTTCTGAATGGGATGCTGCTGCTTTTGAAGCCGATAGAAACTTTAGGAGGGTCTACCCCAGGAGGAGAGACCCTGAGACCCCACCAAAGAGGGATCGCTACTTTGGCAAGCAAAGAGAAGCCTGATTTTCAGCAATTTTATTTCCCTAAAAATCCAGAAGAAATCTCACCAAAGTCGAAGAAGCGCCACCGAGGTGTTTTTATTAGTGATTCAGCTGAAAAGGATGCAATGCAGCAATCATTCGCCAAGCAGAGCATGTGGTTACAGAAATCAGAGGCATTTTTATAGGAAATACAGGCTTGGAAGTTTCAAAATTCCTGCTCCCCACCCTCCTCCCGGCTTGACAGTGATTGGCTGACGTGATAACAGCTGGGAGGAGGCATGGCCGCCCTCCCCATGCCAGAACCAATCACAGAGCTCCTCCGCTGCGCTAGAGCCTATCAGGAAGCTTCTACTGCCTCGGCACTCTAGCGAATCAGGAGGAAGGGAGGCGGGATGAAAAGCAACAATGCTTTCGTGAGTGGATTATAGAGTTTCAATGTCCTGGGGTTCCTTGAGTCCGCGGATCGGCTTTCTAAAGAAACTAATTCTATTGTCCTTTGATGGGTCTGCGATAAGTAATGATTACTTAATCCAGGTTTTCCTGTCACAATCAGATATGACACAATAAAGAGGCTGGGGTGGATGTCCGTTGTGGAGAGTTTTGAATGAAAAAAACGGTGTCGGGGGAAAGAGACTTTTCGAGGGTCGTCTTGCTCCCATTGTTATGTGATTAAAAGTTTGCCAAGCGAAACCTCAATTTGATGGCCCGACTCCGATGTCAAAAAGGGGTTTTCTGTTCTATTTTCCATGCAACAAGTTTCAAGATAAAAGTTCTTTGTGATTGCTGATTGCCTTTTAAAAGTCAGGGCAACTTCCTTGTTGATTTCCCCCAAGGAGAGGGGAAGGGGTAGAGGGTTCAGGGCTAGGTCAGAAATATGAGGAAAATACATGGGGAAATATAGAAATCACAAGAAATTCATATCAGACACCCCCTCCCTATCCCACCCACCAGAGAAATTTATTAAAGTAATAAATTCAGAAAAACATGAGTCCATAGTTCGTTCAAGGGAAATTCATAGGTGGAAACAAGTCCTTTTGAGTCCAAAACACTTGGCAGAAAGTCCAAAGCCACAAAAAGGAGCCTGGTGATTTCCACTGAGCCAAAGTATGGAGTCCTGCAGCACCGAGATCAAGCCGGTCCTTGGTCCTTGGGAAACTACAGCTCCCTCCAAGGACTGAGGCCCCAAGGCCAGGCTGTTCCCCGAAAGCCTTGTGGGGTAGCCGCACTGAGTCTCCAGGGCAGGGGCTTGGCAAGGACGAAGAAGCAGCGAGGGCAGCGGCAGCGCGGCAGCAGCGAAGCTTGGCTTTTGACAATCAGCTGTTTCCTTAAAATTATATTCTAAAAACTCAAAAGGTTATTCCCCGAGCGTAGAAGCCCAAAATAAAAAAAGCGAGGTAGCAGATAGTGTTAGAATT